TTGTTGATATATTTATGATCCACATTAAGTATTCAGTTTCGGCGGCATTTCTTCCAGTTTTTCCAAAGGTCTTCTCATCAGGGCTCTTTAAATAAAGAACTACGGCAGATCTGTAATATGTAATGCAGCCGGACCGTGTATTACAATGCCGTTATGTGAGAATTTCAAAGAGGAAAGCAAGAACACTCGGAATTATGTATTATTTTATTCTTTTAAAATGTTTTCCGGATTTCATATCATATAAACACAAAATCCCAGCATGCATTGCGGCTAAAACATCCAATCAGCGAGCTTAAACCATAGCTGAGGATCTTGGGTAATTGCTCAAAATGCCTACGTCTGTTTCCGTTTTTTTTTTTTTTTAATTCAGTTCCTGACGGACGCCAAAAAAAGCCAGAGATTATGGAATTAAACCAATAAATAAAAGCAAGGATAATTGTGTGTTATTGTTGAGTAAATAACAGTGTGTTATTTTGAAAAGAATAACAAATTAGAAGGAAAAATATGATTTAAAAATACAGATTTCAGTGTTCTGAGGCTCTGAGCCCCATTTATTTTCTTCCTCACAGACGGCAACAAAAGTCCGAAATTATACGATTTAAAATAAAAGCAATAATTGTGGCTTGATATTGAGTAAGAACATGTTTTTATGAACCACACAGCTTCCGGTCTTCCACGACCCGACCAGAGAAAAAGACGTGCTGCAGGCACGAAACACATTACCAGTAGAAATACATTGCTTTTAAAATCGTGCTGTGCAACACGAAAAAAAGGGGAAAATCGTGTTGGTGAACACGAATCAATAAATTAAAAATCGTGTTGGTGAACACGAAATGCCATGAGACTGGGTTGTGTAATCAGGGTATATAAAAGAAGAACACACCTTCACACGATGTCTACAGTGTTATGTTAGCTTGAAGAGATGAGACTGATTCCTTCCAATATCTGTATCGGATATAATTGTAACCCATACACAGGATTGGGGAGTACAGATTAGATGTAACGGGATGAAGTAATCGGGATACAAAATAAGTAACTGTATTCCCTTATAGTTACATTAAGAAAATATGTAATCAGACTCCCCTTATTTAAAAAAAAAAAAAAGGGGAATTTCTTCCAGGATTACAATGTATCAATAAAGACCAATATATAGAATATACTGTAGACCTTCTGCATTTTCTTTTGGGTTTTCGTTGAGGCTACTTTTATTCTTTTCTTTTTAATGCAGTAGGTGGACACCTGATTTATTAAAACAATAATACTGTTTGCTTTTAACTCGTATATTAACCTTAAACACTTTTTGTAAACTCTACTATTCTGTAGGCCTAGCCTACATTTGAAAGGACAAATATTTTATCCTAAATATCTTGGCTTCTTCTTTTCTAAATTCACAATGTTCTTCTGTCTTAAGACATCTAAGTAAAAAACATCTTATTGATATTTATATTCGCTTGTATTTATTTGGATTGCTTCTTTTATTGTTATACTCATATTAGGTTACTGATTAAATCTGTTTTCAGAAATCAGTAACTGTAATGGATTAAATTTTTAAAGTAACCATCCCCACCCTGCCTATACATAAATATGTATTAATAGAGTTGCGGATCGAAAACTGTCTTTTCTCTCTAGGTCTACTCAACAACACATTGCACGCAACAGTCCTGTAGCCTTCTACCAGGTAAACATGGCAGGCCTGTTGTTAAATCACATTTATGGTCTTCTGGCTCTTAAAATGGGGGCTTACTCCCAGTGCTTCAAATACATATTTTACACAGCAATTCATGAAAAAGCAGATTTATTTTAAACTTTTTTACAGGGTTTTTGGATAGTGTAGATACTTCTGAGCAAGTTTCTCATGCACATTTGACACAAAAAGAGCTCTGGTTTTAGTATTGGCAGATGTCACAACTCAGGTAAAGGAATGGAAAAGAACAAAGTGGATTGGTGCAACTCTATTAGCTTGTTTCTTGTATCGAGCTCCTTCTGTTGAGGCCATATCTTTCTACACGCTATGCGACTGAATCTATACCCAATGTGGTTTACCTATGTTTGTGCCCCCCCCCCAGGCATTGTGTCCCTGATCTCCCTGGCGGTCCTCTCCTATGAGCGCTACAGCACCATGGTGGCGCCCACTGAGGCGGACGCCTCCAACTACCGGAAGATATCCCAGGGCATCCTCCTGTCTTGGCTCTACTCCCTCGCCTGGACTCTGCCGCCACTCTTTGGCTGGAGCAAATATGGCCCCGAGGGTCCCGGGACCACCTGTTCTGTGGACTGGACAGCCAAGACGGCCAATAGCATATCTTACATCATCTGCCTGTTTCTGTTCTGCCTCATCGCACCCTTCCTGGTGATCGTGTTCTGCTACGGGAAGCTTCTGTGCGCTATCAGACAGGTATGGATACTAAAACTGCAGTATATGCATAAAGGAGGCGGGGGCCTTTTCAACCCCTTCTGGTGTGTTTAAAGTAATCTATGGCTGTATTTTCAACACTGAAACCACATATTCCAAATCCCATATGCTTTAGTAGACAAAAGGAGAGTACATGCTGGAGAATAGCTCACATTAATTCTGGCATTGTAAGCTGAAAATGTTAATACATTTACAGGCTCATTACAGATATTCTCCCCTTTTGCTAGAAACTCAGCAAAGGTCAAACAAAAAGGTTAATATTAAATAAATGGCTGTGTTTATAGAGTCCAAAGTGCTTTGCAATTTGCCTCAAAATTGAACTACTCCCACCCACACAGTGCGACCGAGTTCAACATAATGATTGTTCATGGTAATAACACCACCACATTAGTGTTTTTTTTGGTTATAATTAAATTGTAGTACACTTTTACCCACAGAGAGTCATTACCAAACTCTATAGTTCCTTAAATTCTATGGAGCGCTTTGGCATATTGTTCTGGTTTTACATCCAGCGTCTGTCATTTTAGATTTTTTGCTGTCATGAACCTTGTACCAACAGCAGCAGACATCTATTTTAAAAGAAAAAGCCCTCTCTCTATATCACCTATAGAGCACCGTCAGAAAGATTTGCCAACTAGCTCAAGAAGATAAAGGAGCAGGTTTTTCTATAATGCGTTGGAACCGTCCAAAATAGACTTAAATGAAGAGTAGATATCCGATTTTCATCAGGTGAGTAGAGATTTAATCCAAATGAATGCTAATGTTTCTCCACGTCTAGTGGAGGTGTAAACCGGCCACGGTAATCTCACTGCTTCACCATATAAACATTAAAATGTTGGGTTGTCTGCTTCTGCTGCCTTACAAAAAGGTTTAGGAAGTTCCATCACCAGAGAAAAAGTTCTTTATAACAATAATACTTAAATAAAATGAAAAAACTCCTGAGATGGTATCATTACTTGCCAGCTGATTTCAGAAGATTCAGAGTATCTGACTCTCTGCAACCATATTAAATGCAGCCCAAGACATTACATTACATGTCACTTGTTAGACGCTTTTATCCAAAGCGACTTACATACTCAATACTGTGGACAATCCCCACAGGAGCAATTTTGGGTGAAGTGTCTTGCCCAGGGACACAACGACATGCTGACTGCAGTGGGGTTTGAACCTGTGACCCCCAGACCCGAACACCAACGCACAACCCACTGCACCACACGCCTCCAAGACCTATCAACTTAAGATCAGAGGCAGCAATAGTGAAAGTATAACTAAATTCAAACTTCTAGAAATGACGTTAAATTAAATAACTGAAATAGATAGAAACTAAAACAAAAGACTCTAAATGTCATTGAAGACAGCGTTCTTGTTTTTAATAGGAGAGGAGTTTCATACACCTAAACTAATTTGTCTGCATTGAGTGCAAAATGTGTTCCATGGGTTGTGAAATGTTTTTATTGAATCCAAATATAATTGTATAAAATACAGACATCAAGTTCAACAGTTGTGCTCAAGCATGCATCGAGATTACATTCTAACACTTAAATATCATGTGATAATGGTAAGTTGATTATTATCCTCAGCTTTAATAGAGATCCACCAATGCCTGTTTGGTGACTCACAGCTCCCAGATTTAACATCATTTGCATAGCTAAATATAAAAATGAATAGCGCCCACTCTGAACTGAAAAACTTCAGAGTTCAGCGGAGTTACAAACTACTTTTCTCCTAAAACTGAAAACCTGCGGCTGCATGTCAAGCGGCTGTTTTATTGCAGAGCTTATGACGGTTATGAATCATAAACCGTTGGTTTTATGGCACTAAAAAGATCATCAGTGCGAAGTCCATAATACCAGTCTGGTTCTTTCTCAGTGAAGTTATATTTTGATGAGTCAAACTGCACATACTATTTGGTTCAGACATTAATCTAAATGACTGGATTGATGGGTTGTATACACTGGTTCTGAATTCAAAACGAGAAAAGCCAGAGCCCGCATATATTAATAAAAATACATTCTCTCGAAAATGGGATCTCAGGATATCAGATTTTACTTTTATTGTGACCAAATTAGGGTTAGGGTTAGGGTTACACTTAGGAAGTTACACCTATTTAGTAAAGCTCCGGAAAGGTGGTTAGGGTTAAGGCCCCTACACACCAACCCGATTTTGGGAGTCAGAGGCCGTCAGAGGCAGTCGGGCATTCGCGGCGCCCTCCTCAGGTTGGTGTGTCCCGCACCGTCGTCTCTTTACGGCACATTTACACACCTCCCGCGGGAGGCCAAAGAAAGTTGGGACAAAGAAATCACTCTGATTGACTGTTCAGCTTAGCGAGTCAGTGCATGAGAAGCAAAGCGGAAGTGAGGGACCAAAACAAACGATTAAGAAGGCACACACAGACGGTTAATCTTTTTCATTTTCATCTCACCTGGACGCAAGAGTTTATTTTTGTTTATATCACACAGCCTGTTCTTCTTCTCTCGGAGTATAGTCTGTCTTTCGGTTGTTGCCTCTTTTGAATGACGAATACACACTACCGCTGCCTGCTGGTAAGGAAAGTTATTGCCACTCGTCAACTGAAGTCTTTGCGGTGTGTTCATAGGCGGGCGGCGTAGCCAACGCAGGCGATGTAGCGGATGTAAAAGTCGGGACGCCTTCGGTACGCGTTCTTTGGTCTCAGGTTGGTGTGTAGCAGCCTTTACAGTTAGGGTTAGGGTCACCTAACTGGTCACCAAATATTCAGGCAGAGAAATGTGCATACACAGGAGTGATGTAGTTGAACATGTAATGGAAAGTGTAAGAGAAAATAACGTTTTCATGAGGATGTTGCCCCTGTCCGTTTGCAACAAAATTGCAGCGCATGAAATATTGCCAAACTATTATACTAATAACGAAAATATTGTTATTATTCTTCACGCCTGTTGCTAATGTTTATGTACCTCTTATAGAGAACCGCAGTAACGCGTCATAAAACCCGGAAGTAAACTTCTTCCGGTTCCTTCGTCAAAAACCAATGCAATTTCTCCATTGGATTTTGGAAAATAGCTCGAAATAAGGTCTGTGGTTGACACACATTTAAGAGACGGATCACGTTTTGTTCAGCCGGATAATCTCCACATGTCAACCCTACTTTTATCATTTTTGAATCATAAATCTAGTCGCCAGAAGCAAAATGCTAACGTTATGCTATAGACGAACTACAAGCCAGTAGCCTACAGCAGCAGGGTCGCACGACTTCAATGTCACGCTAACTTAAGATTGTTTCAACTGACTAGCTCTGAAACTGCACTTTGAACACTTTAAATATATTAACATTTTAAACTGTCTACCCCGGTTATCTAGGCCCTTTTTGTTTTGTTTAATGTATACCACGTTTATCTAGGCCCTTTTTGTTTTGTTTTATGTATACATGTCACACTGTGGGAAACAATATTTCTGGATGTATAACACATGTCGAATTTTTTACAATAAAGCTGACTTTGACTTTTGCGCGCTTGCATATTTTAACAAAGCTTTTAATTTTAGCCACACTGAATTTAACTAGAAGTCATGGCTGTGTCAATTACCAGTCTGATATCGTTTTACAAAGATGACAAGAAGAGTGTAAATAGGAGAGAACCACTACAAGTCAGGACACGTAAAACAGTGCAGCCTAGATGAAGTTGTGCTTACCGGTGTTGTCAGGGCTAGCATGAGGGACAAGGTTTATAGTGTCGGTGAGTATTGATAGCAAGAGTACCGTTAACCTAGAGTTAATTTATTCACATTAATTCCCATCAACAAATCCATTTTATGTGTCACATGAAATCTTTATTAGGCAAGGCAAGGCAAGTTTATTTATATAGCACTTTTCAACACAAGGCAATTCAAAGTGCTTTACAAAAAATGAAAGACATTAAGAAAATGGCATTTAAAATCATTCATTAAAAAGAAAAGCTAATAAAATAAACATTAAAAGAAAAAATACATGGATAAAAGTTACAGTGCAGTCTAAGATATGAATAGTTCAATTAAAAGCAGCGACAAAAAGAAAAGTCTTCAGCCTGGATTTAAAAGTAGTAAGAGTTGAAGCGGACCTGCAGGTTTCTGGGAGTTTGTTCCAGATATTTGAAGCATAATAACTGAACGCTGCTTCTCCATGTTTAGTTCTGACTCTGGGGACAGAAAGCTGACCAGTCCCTGAAGACCTGAGAGATTTGGATGGTTCATAATTTAGCAGGAGGTCAGAAATGTATTTTGGGCCTAAACCATTCAGTGCTTTATAAACCAGCTGCAGTATTTTGAAATCTATTATTTGACACACAGGAAGCCAGTGTAAAGACTTCGGAACAGGAGTGATGTGATCCACTTTCTTAGTGTTAGTGAGTACTCGAGCAGCGGCGTTCTGAATCAGCTGCAGCTTTCTAATAGATTTTTTAGTGAGACCTGTAAAGACACCATTACAGTAGTCCAGTCTACTGAAGATAAAAGCATGGACAAGTTTTTCCAAATCCTGCTGTGACATTAGTCTTTTAATCCTAGATAT